ATAAGGGATTTAGATTGCCTTATCAGTACTGAGCGAAAAGTTAGTTTAGTCATTTTATCATACCCATTTATACCTCTAAGACTGAGAAACTATATCCATTCTTGTTGTTTCTGAATTTCCAAGGCTTCTAGCTGGGCAAGAGATTCCCTTCGGATATCGGACCAATAGAAGTCTGAGAAAGGGTCCTTTCCCATCTCTTCTTCTGCTTGAGTTATCTTCTTAATCAAGCATTGCTCTTTCCACTTCTTTGACGCCGCTTTCATCCGGGAGAAGGTAATCAGTGCTTGTGTCACAATAGCTATCCCAGTATCAGCCCACTGTGAATAATCTGAGAAGAGGTCTTTTGCCTCCATCCAGTTCGTCATGTGGGATTTTACCCATTCCAAGATCCCTGGGTCTTTCAGCACAGTCAGATTCAGTCTAAAAGGCGGGAGATGGCGATCCATTGTGTCCCTTGTTATAATATCTAACAGCACTGGGTTGTGATCGGACAGTGAGGCTGGTTTAAGGTCACACCAAATGCTGCGATCCCAGGGTGTCCCCCGGAGAAGGAAAAAATCAAGTTTTTTCCTAGGGGAGGGGGAGGGGGGAGTAGGAGGAGGGCCAAACCACGTAAATCCATTGTCCTGCGGATTAAAAATTATAAATGCATCTGACAAATTTTGTGCTTCACAGAAGAATGAGAGCAACCTTGTGTCCTCTCTAATGGATTTGGCAGTTAATGAGTCCAATCTGGGGTTGAAAACTGTGTTCCAATCCCCTGCCAAGATTAAATTCTCCACATCAGGAACTAAGCTGGGGACATTCGAGAAAAAGGTGAGACGATTAGGGTATTCTGCTGGTGCATATACCGACATGACAGCCCATTCCTCAGAATTTATCGCAAATTTGAGCCAGACCCACCTACCATCGCTGTCTGCATATTGATCAATGATGTTAATGTCCAGGTCCTTGTTAATCAGGATGCCCATACCCCCTTTCGTTCCTACTACTGGGGACCATAGTTGGGGGTCAACCCACCAATGTTGAATTGCAGACAACTTATATGAATTCAGCTTGGTTTCCTGTAAACAAGCAATCTGAACATTTTGTGAGAGTAACCATTCTTTAAAATGCGGTTTTTTGAACCTTTTGTTCATACCACCAAAACCTCGAACATTCCAAGTCAGGAACCTGATTCCACTTGGTAGAATCATGGCCTGCCCCTCTGCCGCGTGGGAGTTGGATTCGACTTTAGTTGTTTTTCTTTACTACGGCACCCCTCCCCCAACCCGTGAAGCAGTTCCCTGATGAACCGTGGGGGGGGGGGCAGAGGCTATACCATTCAACCTTGCTGTGAAAGATTCCGACGAGAAACAATCCACAACATCCGTATGATATAGCCACGCCGCCACATCCTGGGAAGAAAAATCCTCTGGCAAGGAGATGTCTTTGAGTGAGTCTGAGGTTGAGTCCAAAAAGCGATTTAGCGGCAACCAATAGATACTCAGGGCTTTCAGTTTTTCCAGCTCAGATGTCGAGGTGTGTAGCACCAAGCAGGCCACATGCAGAATGACTTTAGATTTATGGTTAGTTGTAATATAACGACCGCGCTTGGGGGCTGACAGCATCACACACGAACCGTGATTCTGAAGAAGGAGAGTCTTCACTGTGGAAAGCCAACTCTCTTTCGAAATTGGCCCTACTGTGGGGAAGGCTGGTAAGGACAGTACCACCTCCGCATCTATTTGTGTTAGCACCATCGCACCATGCGGCGATGGAGTAATCACCAAGGGGACTAAGTACTCATTAATGGTTTTTCCCTTATCATCCTTTGTTAGCGTCTGCATCAGCCGAGCAGAACCCCGGCTGCTTAAGCCCCTGCCTCGCTGCAAGCTTATCCTTTGCAGCGCCGTCCTTGGGCCTAGCATGTACTTTTGAGATTCCTTCTTTTGACACTGTGTTTTCCCTGACGCTTTTTTTTCTATTAGCGCGCTGCTTCTTGAGTGGGGAGGCACCGAGCGGAGAGGACAGTCTCCTGTCCTTGACCGCTGAGCCCTCCCCTGACTTGGGGGTCAAACTATGACTACCGACCGAGCGAAAGTCATCAGGGTCAATTTCAGGTTCAGCACCGTCAGATTCCTTTTGTAGATCATCCCGTCTCGCTTCTTTTAAGCTGTATAAGGCCTTGACCCCGTAATCAGAGTCAATTTCGGTATCCTCCTGTGCGGAGGAATAGGCCTCGTTGAGATATGTCCGGTGTGTGTATTTCGGATTCCGACTGATGCCTCCGGATCCGTCCCACGTTTGTGAGCATGAATACGATCCTCCTCATCTGAGGAGGGGGACAACGAGGCGTATCCATTCGATATCGGAGACCTACTCCGCTCTCTATGTAGCACTAGCTCGTTCCCCTTGACCACGAAATCATGATCCGGCTCACTCCCTCCGTCCTCTCCTTTATCATCCCTCTTACGTTTCTCCCTTGGTGGAGGAACCCGATCTTCTTCCATTGGGACCTCCTTACCTTCAGGTATCGGATCCCGATTCTCATCCATCGTTTTTCCCTCCCTTTCCTTCTCCTCTTTCTCCTTCTCTTTGTCTTCATTCTTCGGGTCCTCATCCATTTCATTTTTCTCTTCGTCCTCAACCCTCTCCCCTCCTGCCTTCTCCCTTTTTTTCGGAGTAGAGGTAGGGTCCTTTCTTCCACCGTCCGGTTGACTTTTCTCCCCTTTTTCGCTCCCCTTTTCATGCCTCTCCTTATCCTCTCCCTTCTTCTTGCCCTTTTTCCCCACCTTCTCTCCCTTTCCTCCGCCTTCCCCCCCCCCCCTTATCATCCTTGTCTCCACCCTTGTCACCACCCTTGTCCCCTCCTTTATCTCCAGCCTTGTCCCCGCCCTTCTCTCCACCCTTCTTTTCTCCACCCTTACCTCCGTCCTTTTTTTCCTTCCCCCCCTCCCCTCCTTTGGACTTAACTGCTTTTGCATAAGAATTTCTCTTACGCGAAGAGCAGTCTTCATTTCCTTCATAATGAAAATGTTTCCTACACGCCGGACTCCAAGGTGTTTCCGCGCATACCACTTCGATCTCCACATAGCCATCCTCGCCTAAGGCCATAACTAAATATTTCTTGTACCGCAGGCGGGCCTCTAAGGCCAGATCAAATCTGACATTCAAAAGATCAGGAGACAGTTTATCTTTAAAGGCCGGGTACTCTTTGATAGACTCACTTCCATACGCATCTCGTATGGCTCTCGGGAGAAGAGGCAGGACCCCCACTGGCACCTGTTGACAACGTATCCAGAAGAAACGATGCCTTGCCACTTCTCTCCATTCCCACAACTCATGTTCTGTCATCCATGGCCCAAAAGAGACTTTGTGGGAAGTGTTATCTAACACTACCTCTGTGTGAGCCACACAGAGCATCCATTGTGCCACTTCCTTGGAAGGTGCCACGTAGGTGATCTGGTTGCGACCCTCGTTATGAAAAAGTCCTCGTTTCGAAGGGTTGGCAATCTGACTCGATGAAGCCCACCCATTCTCGTAAATGCGAACTATCCGTTTCTTAACATCTACCGTCAACGACGAGGAGTCTTCTCCAAACCGGATGGTAACCGCATGTTCCTGTAACCACTCTGCCTGGATCTTGTACACGTCTTGATTACCAGTGACCTTGAGGTAATCTTCCCCCACTTCGAGCTTTGACGGGGCGAGGCGTGGAGGGAGAACCCCATCGATGTAGCACTGTGCAATAATATCCCGGATTCGCGTTTTATCATCCAAAGGGACTGTGGATCCTTGACCGGTATCGGCCATCGGCCTTCGGAATCGGAAACGAAAGACAGCCCATGATGTCTATATCCTAATACAGGCAGCACTTAATAATGGATAACGAAACTATAACTAAAACGATTACCTATAATGAAGCTTCCAGAACCCTTTAGGGAATAACATCAGTGTTCCAAGAATTCCCTTCCCACTACCCGGAGAGGATGCGGATGGGAGCAAAGCGTTATACCTGCATCGTTGATCGGTGACGTCCTCCCGGGGGCAAGTCCCCCCTCCTTCTGGCAGGTAATTACAGCTTCAGCAGTTGACTCGGTAACATACTGCAATCCTCGGCAACCTCCAGTCCGTTTGACTTATGCAACCGCGTCCACCCGGGGGAGGTATCTACCCTGACCTCTGATATTCCACAGTAGGTGCCAGCCATGACTACTCCATAGCTAGGGTAGAGTCTCGTTTCCTTTCCCTTGGTAATCCCGAGAGAAAGGGCGATGACGTCAACGGCCTTAGGCTGCACAGAGCTTCGTTTCCGGAACCCGCCTTACCGTCCCCGGTAGTGCTGTCCGAAAATTAGCGCTGTGCTGGGCTAACGCCTTGAACCCTCCTCCAGCGTCGCCGGAGCATCGTCTCCGCTAATTTCCGCAACCCCACCCTTTTCGATTTCTCCTCTTCCCCGCCAATCCATCTAGCATATTCGTGCAGGGGAGCCACGCCCTTTCCTTACGGGAAAAGTCATTAAACCTTCCCCCGCCACGAAACCTTCGTATCATGTTTGTGGAATATTATGCTTTGTGTTGTTAAAAAAAAAAAAAAAAAACCTTCGTATCCATTTCCCGCCAACGGGGAAAAAAGTGCGGCAGGTGCGAAAATCACTTTTGGTGTGACAGTACAAGGCGGGAAAGCACAGTAGTGAGGCGGGAAAGTGTTTTGCAGGTTCCAAAAATGAAGCCGAAAGTGATTTTGGGACCTGCGGCACCTTTTTTTCCCCATTTTGGCGGGAAATGCCGCCAAATGGATACAAAGGTTTCGTTGCGGGGGAAGGCTTTATGACTCTTCCCTTTCCCCTCACACGTATAAAACGAAGCGTGCATCTGGTGGCCGGCGTCATCTGAAGTAAGTGCCAATGTTGATTGGTTGACTGATTGATGCAGCTGTCCGCACTCACCGTCTTTTCGCGTCGTAGCTGCATTTTGCCCTGTGGCGGCGCTCCGGGTGGGAACGGAGTGATTGACGGAGGTGAGGGAGGAGAACATTATTGTCGTCAATCTCAAGACACCAATTGCGGGAAAGGTCCTGTCGATATCTTGCGAAGAAGATGGCGGCGGCCATGTCTGCGGCTATGGCGGTCGTTTTCTCGGTGCTGCTAGTCTTGTCTCCCGTGCTTGTCGAGGGAAATCCGGGACTAGACCTCCTCGAGGCAATCAAGGGCCATCAGAGGCTGCACCGTTTTCATCAGGCCTTGGTCACGACTGGCTTCTCCAACGGCCTCAATAACGCGGTGAACGCCAAGCCCACCACGATCTTCGCCCCCGTGGATGACGCCGTCGACACTGCCACCGCCACGTACTCGGTTTCCTGGGACTGCCTGACCCAGGAAAACGCCGGGAAGGCTGCTCTCAAGGAGACCCTCAAACATCACGTAGTGGAGGGCGCATTCCACACGCTCTGGAACTTGACGAAGACGAACCAAGTCATCCCGGCCGACGGATTTCCGATCGAAGCCATGTTCGACAAGGCGACCCACGTGGTCATCCTGGACGGTTATGTCCACGTGGTAGAGCCCGAGGCGATCGTCATGGAGAATGCAATCGTGCATCTCATCGATGGAGTCATCGTGACGGAAAGCAATTACGCCCAGATGGTCGACGTCTGCGGCCAGGCGCAGCCCTCCGCATCGCCTTCTCTTGGCTTCGCGAGCGGATTGTAAATCGAGGGAGAAGGAGAGGAGGAGAAGGAGAGGAGGAGAGGGAGAGGGAGGAGAGGGAGAGGGAGGAGAGGGAGAGGGAGGAGAGGGAGGAGAGGGAGGGAGCGCAGTGAAAGAGAGAGTTGTCATAAGAAGATGAGGCCAGAATGTGCAGGAGGGGTGAAGAAAATGAGGCAAGCGGAAGAGCTGACTCTACGGCGGCGCGCGTGGTCGGCAGCGGGCAGCAGGGCGGTGAGCAGCGGGCGGCGTGCTCCACACTCTGCGGCAGCGTTATTTGGCGGCAGGGCAGCAGAACGGATTTCACCGGCGGCTGCTGTTGACTCGTCTCACCTTCTCTGTTTCCTCTTTCTCCTCTTATCTATCGCGTCATCATCGTCGCTGTCTCGGCGAGGTCGACGATGCTAAGCCTTGTCCGATTCTCGCTGCCGCCTCGAAGTTTTCCTAGAGTGGTGATATTCAGTCTTTCCCATCTCCTCTCGTGCCGGCTTGAGCGGTCTTTAGCTTCATTCACCGTAGCTATGGCGGCACTAGTTGCCGTTGAATCGTTCGTTAATGGGTGGGCAACCAGCTTGGAGCATTTCTCTCCCCAGCCTTTCTATGTTATAGGGGTTGATGTCCCGATTTGTTGCCTACGCCATTTTAGTGGGGCATTGGTGCTCAGCATTTCCCAGCCTAGCACGGATCGATCATTGACATAGAACTGCATGCCGTCGTTTGCTCGCAAACTAGGCTGGCATAGCACGGCTTACGGCATCGTTTGCTGGCAGACTATGCTGGCATAGGACGGCTTCCTTGGTGTTTTTGCAGGCATTCTCCGGCTCTGTTAGCAAAGCACGGGGTGGCTATGCCGATAGAAGCACACAGCTTTTCTGCTTCACTAGGGCGGCGTCTTTCTGCTGGCATGCTGTTGTTAATCCCCTACGGTAGCTCCTATGCGGGTCCTTGTGCTGGAGTGCCAGGGATGTCCATGTTACTGCCGTGCTAGTTTGGCAGGTCACGACGCACCCTTCTTCAGTGTCTGTCTGTGGTTTCACAGAACAACGCGTGTTTGTCCTCTCTACCATGGCCCGTGGGCGTGGGCGCGGGCGTGGGCGTGGGCATGACTGTCTTATGTGTTTACTTTGGGTTCTATTGTGATTTGTCAGAAAAAAACACAGAATGCATTCTGAGGTACTTAATAGCAGCGTCTTGTCACACAAGAGCTGCGTGGAGACGAGCGCCCAACGGACTGGAGTTAAATCTCCAAAAGGACTGTACACCGTGCTCCGTTTGGAGGTAGGGACTGGAGTTAACCGCCAAACGGACTGGAGTTAACCTCCAAACGTACTGTAGTCGAAGTCCAGACAAATTAAGTTAATCTACAAAGGGAATGCAGTGAAGCTAGTTTGGCATGGAGTTAACTATAAGTGGATGGAGTTAACCGCCAAACGGAATGCAGTTACGCTACACGCGGAATGGAGTCAATGCTCACAAGCGACCTCCAGTCAAGAGACTTGTGGAAGGCAGTTAAGGGGCAAACGCAATCGAGTTAAGGGGCAAATAAAATAAGTGTGACAATTGTCAGAAGATACTAAGAACGTTAATTAACAATGGAGTTACGGCATTTGTTAAGAAGTTGATAACACGTCCGTCACCAAAATTTCGTCATGGTCATATACAAAGATTTTCGGACGCTGTATGAACTGCGGCAACGTTCAACTTACGCAGTTTTTATACATTTCCAAACTGTTTTACGTTGCGACCTGAAGAAATTCTTCCCCCCTGGCTGGCTTCGTTTAATTGCAGACTCTCTCCCTCTTCTCCTCCCCCTCCCTCCGTTATTCCGCGGCGTAACTGTCCGCGTGTGTGTGCATGCGTTTGAGCGCGCGTGTCCTATTTTGTGTGTGCGTGTGTTTTCGATCGTGTGCTTGCTATCGGCCGTTGTTTACTACAACAGGGCCGAAGTGGACATTGCGAGTGTTTTGGCTGAACCTAGGAAGAATTACCCTCAGTTGCAGCCAAGGGAGTTCCACTCTCTCTCTCTCTCTCTCTCTCTCTCTCTCTCTCTCTCTCTCTCTCT